TAAATGATGTGTCACCGCACAAATCATTTCATTTTGATCGGAGACGTCAGATTAGTTTACTGCTATCATTCACAAGGTGGCACGTATATCTAGTCTTTGACTTTATCCTCACTGATTCCAAGGTGAAGAAAACTATAAATGATCGAAAGTGGAAGTTTGTTTTATTTCAAAGGTGCTGTAGTTGGAATCGGTCATCTGTCAGACTTGTCAACAACGCGGCAGTAAAAATCGATCATCTTTCTAAACCGAGCTTTGGTTTTAAAGTATTTCCCAAAGACATCAGCAATGATGAGATTGGAATCGGCTATCAACCCATACATGTATCAGCAGATGCTAAATGAAACAGATTAATAACCACCTATCGTTTATTTAAGTGTTATTTTCTTCGTCGCGTGTTGTGGTTTAGAAATGTACTTGATAAACAACATGACCAACCGTCCTCATTCTTTCATGGGACGCGAAAAAAAGTGTATTTAGTAACAAGTTGTAATAAACTGATACATCTGATCTGATATAAATGAAGGTAACCGATACTGCTGATAGAAATATTTATACTGAAGATATTTAACTCTGGTCTATAAGATGTAAACATGCTACATGATATTTGGTTGACCGGCTGGCAGCTCGTCAACAGTATCTTGTCCGGGCCATAACTTCCTTGCTATTTCGCCATTACTAAATTCGGGTCACAGCCTCGTCCCCAATGATAAACAGAGTGATGGCCCTTTCTTCATATTTGATATCAAAAATTGTCCGGAGCATAGCATCATTGCTATTTTACCTACGTTTATCAAACTTGTGTGCTTTGATATCTTTGATAGTGAAATCGAGCACTCTCTTTTGGTCTTTTGTCCCACGATATACAATGAAAGAAATGTATAATACCATTCGGAACACCTCGCCCCGATATCAAAACATTTCTGTAAAGCCCTCGGAACACATTGGCCGCTGGATAGTACTGAAATAGGGAACCTGTAATAGGGGCGATAAGTTCCGAATGTCATCAAAGATGACTGAAGTGAATCTGCCGATGTGTTCCGAGTTGGATAATGCAGCTGCCTGAAGACTAACGATTACAAAAGTGTTTTCCTGAAGCTCCATACATTCCGACTTATGTACACATATATAGCATGGGTTTTATGTATAGTACTTTCTGTGACGGATGTTCAGCCATTATAAACATTTGTTTACTTTTCTAGGAATTGATAAATGATCGTTGATATTCGTGTAGTGTAATATATTTCATCACTGTATCTTAAGTTCAATAACTTATTCAGACTATAATAAAATTGTAAATGTTATGCTGCTGCTGCTGCTGATGATGAGTGGTGTACTTTGCGGTCTCACTATGCATGTAGTCTCACGAACGACTTGCAATTATCTTGTACAAGATCATCCAAATAGAGTGGAACCGGGGGTTATAGGAGTGTAACCGTTGGTCTACACACAACTGTACATGACGCCTTATCGATGTTTATTGTTCCGCCCCCGAGACTCTCTATTTTTTACTAGCTTTTAGATCAAAACAAGCGTTCTACTAACCAGATACATTTGGGGGTCGGGTGGCGCAGTCGATAGCGCTCTCGCTTTACGCCACGGTGGCCGGGCTTCGATTCCCCGATCCGACATGAAAAGGTATGGAGTCACCTGCCTGACAAACAAACAAATAAACAGTTAATATTTAACTCAAACCGAGCTTAGTATCCACGAAACTGTCCTATAGGTTTTAAACCATAAAATACACGTGTTCTATTCGCAGCATAGATGCAAAACTTTTCTCATTAAAGAATTCTTTAATAAACAACTTCATAAATATTTGCTTAAATTTTCAGAATGTATTTCATATTAGAAACACACACTTTTTCGGTTCTGAAACAATATCAATTTCATGATTATTAAGAATGCATAGAACTCTCACCTGTGGAAAGAAGTTCCGGAAGTCAGGAACAATTGTATTGGTAGATTTACGAAAATCGATTTTATGACAATACGTGTGCTATTATTCTATTTCTTGTTATTTTATGCAGGTACGTTAATATTTAAACATATACACTGTACCGTTGATAATGTTTAAATATGTCTGGTTATTGGTCAGTGAAATCTGGAAATTTCTAGCATAATAACGAAATCCAAAGACATTGATTGAGCAACTAATTAAAAGTTAATGCAATGACGCTCCTAAAAACCCGGAGCTTCCAACTCTAACATGCAGGCGCTTGCGTGGAGATATAAAAAAAAAAACTTGTTCAATTTTATGAAAGGGCCAAATTTGGTGGAGGGATTGTTCGATCTCACCGCTGTAGGAAAAACTTGTGGACACAGTAAAAACACACTCAAACCAAATTGACATTTTGATATAAGAAAACTTACTTTCCTCAAAGAATAACTGATATCTAGAATAGTCTCCAACAAGATGTTATTTCATCTCCTAACGTATATGACTTTGTGAAAAACTTGGACGAATTCTGGAAAGATCTTGAGTTGAAGTGCGATCATACAGCGTCTTATACATAGACTTATTTTATGTTTAACACATTATATTGATGTGAATATAGAGGCAGCAATGTCTGCGTCCACTAATATCCTTTTGAATCCTATTAAATCAATACCGAGAAAGCCATTCGATAATTCAAATGCGAAAGTCTGATGAAAAAAACCTTGTTTCTATAGTAACAATGCGCCTCTCGAAGTACGCAAAATGTTTTCTTTGTATCAAATCCAAATCAGATTGTTTATGTGGTTGCTACTTTGTATCGAGGCACGTGCACTTTGGTCCGTTGTTTACTCTACCCCCCTTTGTTTTGCGCACCAATGCGTCTTTGTTTGTATTCAGGTCCGCGCTCCTATCCCCTGAGCGCCACTTAGACCATCTGAATTTGTTTAAATTGTGTTTCGTTTACGAATCTATACTGGAGAAATAAGAACATTCGAGAGCTTGCAATAATTAAGTTAAATGCCGATTACATCACTAAATTATTGATTTTTTCAATAACGTTGTTGCTGTTCTTTATGATGGTAAGAAAAATACCATGATCACTGTAAAGGCCGTTTATGTACGCCTTTGTTCAAGAAGTGGCTTCACATTCGAGTTTTATTTTTTTCAGACAAATCACCGTTACAATTGCAAAATGTACTTTCCCAAATATTGTTGAGCGCCATAAATGAAATATATTTAATAAAGTTAAAAACAATTTTATTTCAATTTTATTTCATTTTAGCATATGGTGTGCTGTGTCATTCCAAGCAAGATAATCGGAGTTGTTCCCCTTGTCTTTAGTTTACGCCAGTGGGGCCAGTATCAAGTCCTAAATTTGATCGCCGTTTCATAGTTTCGCTCTGTTTCTGAATTGATATGCAATCTAACATATCTGCGAAGATTTATTTTTGAAAATGTACATAACGAAAAATCAATAACACATCGAAATAGTTGACTACTCCTTTAAAAATGATTTTGAACGGAGCGGAGATATTATTAAAGGGAAATAGTTACTTTGGACTAATTTCGAAGCAGGGTTTCTAGCATCGTTAAGTAAGTTGAAATACTCGGGTTCTCTTCTGCAGGCCAGCATTTGCTTGTATATACATTATATATATATATAGGATCTTACATGAGTTTCCATTTCATATGAGATTTTTGAAACGAGTCTAAGAATTTTACAAATTAACGAGCCTCTAACGAGCTAAACAAAAATGACGAGTTTCATAAATTTCATGTGAAATGAAACGAGTTGAAAATCCTTTTTACACATAATCAAGGTTTGTGGGATTTATTCGTGTAAAACGGCAATTTTCATGCAACTTTGAAATGTAAAAAAACGCCATTTGACTTCAGTGCGAAAGTCTGTGACGTCATGTACTTGTCCTAGGCGTGACGTCACGGTTGAAACAAACTTACAACCAATCACAGGGCTAATACGCAAACAAATATGACATGGGTATATTCACTGGATAGCACAGTACATTATGTATTTAATATAAATTCAATATTCCCGTATTAAGTATATCATGACTGATTAGGCCGACGCAAGCTGTTGGTGGTGAAAATATGATGCTATCTCTATGAATCTGTTTGCGCCACACGCACAATCAATCATGAATCATCTCCCCGAATAAACTGTCGAGTGCAGGGAGGTTAGACCGGCGAAGGTTTTAGAATCTTAAAGTGGTCATTTTATTGTATGATTGTGAAAATTCTATCAAGTTTTGTCATATGAGCCCCATACAATTTAGTAAATAAACCTCCACTTTTTGCCTATGTCGACATTCTTGTGATATCAACACTTCTGAAGAAGTCTCAGAACGCAAATGGGTCGGTATCATTTTAAAGCTTCTCCTCTCGCGTCGAATAACGTTGAGGCCATCGTAAGAAGCAAACATTTAGGTGAATCCCTAGACGGTAATTGAGTTGAATTTTCAGACAAAATGACAATAAATAGTGACCCGGTACTCCTCAAGACAATGTTTTATGAGCGATACCACTTCAAATATACATAGATAATGATATTCAAGAAGAAAATATCACTGTTAACGACATATAGGCTACTTCGTTTCTGTGACTCGTTCCTCCTTGTTGAACTTCAACTTATGTATGTATCAAAATTTAAATGTTTATACAAACAATGTACTATCGAACGTGTTGCGATGTTCTTAGACTGACTGGTCCCTTTGTCAAGCTTTGAGTCGTGTAATTTAAAAGTATAAATGGAAATTATTCTATCACGAATCACAGAAAATATGTGTAATGTAGCATGCGTCCTTAACATTGAAAAAGTTTTAATGACACAAAGAAGCAAACAATATTTCAATTTGCAAATAAAATTTAATAAACTATTTAACAATATAAAACAATGATAGACGTTAGCTGTCCAGAAGTGCGAACTGGTTTCTCGATTTCCCGTCCTCCAGGGACCATAGGGCAACACAACCAGCCCCTCCCCCGGGCAGCCTCCAAGGGATGTGCGAGTAACGTGGCGTGAAGGTGCACGGCAACTATAAGGTCTCTAGTAAGATCCCTTCTGCAAAATAAATCAAAGAAAATATATGTTTAAAATATCATCATCATCATCGTCATCAACGCGATCACGGACGTGCGATTGTTTGGCACAACCCTGGTCCCGAATTAAAACTATGACTTCCATATACTTTTACGTACGTGTACATGCACAAGTTGTAAAAGTGTCACTCTGGTAAAATGCTAGCCGCTTCCTACCGACTCAGCAAGAGAGAATTTCCGTTTAGCTCGATAGAGTCACACTGGTAAACCGGAGGTCTCGGGTTCAACCCCTAGCGGAGGCATTGGAAAATATATACCTCTGTTTCATAAGATATATCATTGTACCAAATCAAACTGAATTCCAAGAGAAACAAATTATCAATTTTTGGTACCAAATATCTAAAAATTATCAAGTTTGTGAGGTACGTTGTCGTTCGCGTTCTCTCGGCATTTTATATAAGAACTCATTGTAACCGTTGCAAGTAACAGAATATTAAGGATGCTTGGGCACCATGTCCGAAGAATTTACCTTAATTCATATAAGGTTTACGCAAGAGTTTATTCAATTTATCTAGTGCATACATACATTTTAATTCTCAATTTCAATTCAGACGAAAAAGAAAGGAAACTACGAGAGTATTATCGAAGTAGCCGCTTACCTTGCTTGTTTTTACGTATGAGTATCCACCATTTCCGTTTCTGCCGTTCCAAACTCCGCCCCGTCGGATACCATTTCCGAATCCGTTGCCAAATCCGTTGCCAAATCCTCTTCCTCCAACTCCGAATCCTCTTCCTCCATTACCGAAGCCTGGTCCATAGTTGCCAAAGTTTCCAAACATTGATCCGGATCTACCATATGCGCCAGGGAAGTATCCGTTTCCGCCATAGTTTCCGTATCCTCCTACTCCTTTTCCGTATCCTTTTCCCATGTTCCATCCTCCGTTTCCGCCCATCATTCCTGAACCACCGAATCTGTTTCCGCCCATCATTCCTGGACCACTGAATCCGTTTCCACCCATCATTCCACCGAATCCAGATACGCCGTATATGCCATTTCCATTCCATGGTCGGCCGTATCCATTTCCGTTTCCGTACCAAGATCCTGGTCCGTAACTGTTCCCGTTTCCTACACCATTTCCGTATCCGTTATTTCCGTACCATGGTTTGCTATAGCCGTAACTGCCCGATGGTCTGCCCCATCCGTTTCCGCCCCATGCTCCTGGACCATTACCGTTCCAACTTCCTTGGCCACCAAATCCGTTTCCATTACTACCCCATGGTCTGCCATAACCGTTCCCACCCCATGGTCTTCCGTAGCCATTTCCGCCCCATGGTCTGCTCATGCCGTTTCCGTACCATGATCCTGGTCCGTAACCGTTCATATTTCCTTGACCACTAAATCCGTTTCCGTACCATGATCCTGGTCCCATATTTCCGCCCGACAATCCATGTCCATACCAGCCCCCATTTCCTTTTGATCCTTTTACGTAGCTTCCCTTGGAATCAGCCAGTGCGAGCGCCACCAGGCACAACAACACTGAAACTTGTCTAATCATTGTATCAACGTCTGACTGAAAAACGAAAATGGATAATTATACGTTACTTTTAAACTACGACATTGACCTAGTGAGAGGTTTGCAAAACAAAATTCATTACATGATATATTCGATTTTTTATCACCTAATGTACTATTTTATCCAGTGAATATTAACCCATGTAATATGACCTATCAGCCCTGTGATTGGTTGAAAGCTTCAATTGTTTCAATTGTGACGTCTCGCCTTGGACAAGTACATGACGTCACATACTTACGCATTGGAGTCAAAATGGCGGCTTCACACATTTCAAGAATGCATGAAAATTGTCGTTTTACACGAATAAGTGTCACAAATTTTAATTATGTGATAAAAAGGATCTTACACTCGTTTTCATTTCATATGAAATTTATGAATTTATGAATTCATTTTAGCTCGCCAGAGGGTCGCTAGATTGAAAAATTCTTAGATTGTTCAAAATTCGAAAAACGAAAAGGCATCATGCATTTCCACAAACCGGAAGTTAATCCGGAAGTGTTAGACATAAATAATGATAATAAAATAGTTGAATGCTTCTGGCAATATAGAAATGTTATTCTTGATTAATGATTTATTTTTGTTTAGAAAATCCTACCTGTGTTTTAATTATTCCTTTATTTTTCACTGATAAATACAAAATGTAAAAGAACTGTCTTTGTATCAGATAGTGTAAGTGGCATAACAAATGTTATCTTCGAATATTTCATTTTTTTCCTTTAGAGGGTGGTAAAAGAAAATTTATTAAATTATTTAATATTTGTATATCTTGATTTTTTTTTTTTTTTATCACCAGAATCATGAAATATTTTGTCTCAAATATCAGTTTTAAAACATTAAGATAAACATCTCCTAAAAACTTATATAAGGATTATCAGATACATGGGCATGCCGTATTACCTATTTAAGTCAAACAAAATACTAGAATAAATTAAAATTTTACCGAACCCATAGTTAAAAGACTTTGTTGGTGTGGAATACATAAATGTTTTATATCATGATCTTAACCGGTTTTTTTTTTTTTTTTTTTTTTATAAAAAATCACATCCCTTTGTCTTAGCATATCATGTTTGTGATTAGATATATAGAACCCATTCTGCTCAACTCACACATGTGTCAAACTGTGTATCAGATTATCTAGTAAAACTAAGCTAGAAAACTGTTCATAAGCAAAATACGATAGTGAAATAAACAAAATTTAGCAGAAAACAAAATTGAATTAAAAAGGTAATAAAAAAGAATTAAAATACCATACATAACTCAAGAATGAAACGTCGATGTAACACCTAGAAATAAAAGAAAGAAAGAAAACAGAAGAAAAAAAACCCATAAATTCAACTACTTATTACGTTAACGTATATGTCAATGAAGCAACTTTCTTACCTTTTTGGCAGGAGAACTTCGGATTCCGCGGCTGGTTAGGTGTGCAGTGATGGGCTGGATTCAGCCCCTTTTTATAGAGGCTTTTGAAAAATTTAACGCCTGATCTTTGACTCGACTTATCAGATAAACGCGCTGATGCCCATAACATTTCAATCCTAATTAGTTATGACATACATTTTTACACCGAATATGCTAATTAATAAGACAATACAGCACAATTTATGGGCCCTAAATGGGGAAGTGTGACCACTAATGTGACAAAGGTTAATTAGAGACTAATTAAGCGGAGATATGACATTTGATTAACATAGTATGTATTTTAGTCCAATCAACAGTGATAGTCTACCTTTGACATTACGGACTTGTAGTAATAAAAACCAGAAACGTTCATCAAATGGATGCGAAACAACCCATTGCTAATTAAAACATTTTTGGGGTCGTTGTTTATAAAGGGAACGGCAGATAATTAGTAACATTAATAGGACACACTGAAAGTCATCATCCTTTTTTCTGCATCAATTAATTGCTATGTACGTTTCAATGCAAATCAAGATTGGCGAACGGAATTGTTTATAATTGAACTTTGGAAGTGGTTTCAGGAACTAAGTCGGTAAATATACAGTACCTAACGTTGATTGGTCACATTTATATAACATTATATGTAAAGTTTGTCAAAATATTATTATTATTCTTTCAATGTCAAAATAATTTCTGACAATTCATATTTTAAAATCTTGATAAATTAAAATGTGTTGATCAGTATTTGTTAATTATCAAAGCATTTAAAGAAAATAAAGAAAAGTGTCTGTGTCTCTTACAAGTACGACGAGTTTATACGTACGAGCGAACTTGATCTGCAAGAGCAGGTGCTATTTGCGTGATTCGTTCTAAATGGCCAGATCTTCAAATTTGTGGAACTGTGTGATTTAAAAAAACAAATAAGCGGTTTCTGTGTTTTTATCTCAAACTTGTGAAATTGTAGTATTTCTTACTTAAAGCTTAAGGGGTTTCGGTGTTTTCAATTTAAATTTGTTGAATTTTGGTATTTTTACCTCTAATTTATGGAGTTTCAGTGTTTTTACTTTAAATTGATATAATTTAATTCCATTCTAAACATGATTGACATTTGTATCCGGGCTGAATATATGCTTCGGTCGTTTATGTAGCTCGGGGTTAAATTATCTACAACCATACCACAATAAATACCCGAAAAAAACATTGATAAAAATATGACTTAACTTTCTCAAAACATCATAATAGTCAATTCAATAAAGTACATTCAGTCTGGTTACAATAATAATTTACATGTATATCTACAAATGTAATATAAAAAAAAACGCACTTTTTTCTCAACATTATACAAAACGCTCAAACCTGTCATGACCATTAAAATACGGTCGCTATAGACAGGTGAAGATTAGTCGATAATCTGAGACTAGAGTCTTTCATCTTTTACCGTAATTCTGTAATACGTAGGTCCTTAGTTAGTTTGTGGTAGACAAAAAGAAAAATAACGTGAAAAGGACTGTATGATACGGTACTTTTTCGGTCCCAAAATTCACCAATATCTAAAACCTTCAAATAAATGTTCATATCTTGAATACATCCCCATAAATATTGTGAAAGTGTTTGTGTATTCAATTATGGTTGGCAAGTTAACCAGTTGAAATTTGCATAAATTTGAATATTTAATCGATTTATTTCCAGTTTTGCATATCTTTTTCTTAGCCGTCACATAGAGCACATTCATTATATTTCGTATTTCTCCTAAATATGTCACGGGGTGATAACCTACGTCACAGGCGGAGGTCACGGACACTCTTTTTGCCGCCATTTTTGCCGTTTCAGGGGTAACATTTCCGTAAAAACTGCATTTTGAGTATCTAACTGAAAATGAACTTCACACTAAGTACACGCAAGGAAGGAAATATTTATATGCAATATATATCAGTTATATTCATCAAACACTTCTAGTTCTGCTATACACCTCCGTGTTATGATTTTTATGCGGACAATACGGTAACACACTTTTCGAGTTTCATTACATTTTGAAAGGTTTCCACGTATATCGAATTCATTTTCGACTTGTATGATGTAGCATAATATACAACATTAACCAACTCTTTCTCTAACACCCATCCTCCCACAACCACCCACTCTCTGTCTCACCCACACTCTCACCCCCACCCACTGTCTCTCACCCACACACTCGCTCTCTTACCCACTCACTCTCTCTCTCTCACCCACTCACTCTCTCTCACCCACTCACTCTCTCTCACCCACCCGCTCACCCTCTCTCTCACTCTCTCACTCCCACACTCCCTCTCGCCCACTCACGCTCTCTCTCATCCACTCACTCTGTCACTCACACCCACTCACTCTCTCTCACCCACCCGCTCACCCTCTCTCTCACTCTCTCACTCCAACTCGCCCACTCACGCTCTCTCTCATCCACTCACTCTGTCACTCACACTGTCACCCACTGTCACCCACAATCTCTCTCCCACACTATCTCTCACCCACTCGCTCTCTCACTCCCACACTCCCTCTCTCACCACTCACTCTCTCACCACTCACTCACACCCACCCACTCACTCTCTCACCACTCACTCTCTCGCCCACTCACGCTCTCTCTCATCCACTCACTCTGTCACTCACACTGTCTCTCACTCTCTCTGTCACCCACTCTCACCCACCATCTCTCTCCCACACTATCTTTCACCCACTCACTCTCTCTCACCACTCACTCTCTCTCTCCCACTCACCTACCAACTCATTCTCTGTATCTCGCCCACTAACTTAGAGTATCTTCCATATATCTCCAATTCGAAACCTGGTACCATGAGCAAGGAGTATCCAATCAGAAGTGACCTAACAAATTATAGTTGGTACATCCAATATCAGAATACAACTGCTACAGTAGCAGTCTCCGATCAGAAACCATGCAGATGATAGTGTAGTGTTGGTATACATAACAATAAACAAATGCTTCACGTCCAAAACTACGTATCAGGCCAATCAGGGATTAGGGGAGCTTTGATTACACATCAGCGTTAGACACTTCTGTGTTTGAAATAAAAACAGTAAGGAATGAAAACGTACAGTTTTATACAAAATAAAATCGATCTACGCAGGTGTTCAGTTTTTATAACATTAATTGTCATATTACAACAATATTCCTACTATCATTCAATTTAAAGGGATTCATTTGAGTGCGTTCTGAACAATGACATTTTAATAATGTTTTAAATGATAAGGTAAAACGTCACAATTTGATTTATTTTCGTTGATTCCAGGGTGAGTAAGATGATAGGTAACTCTTGACTTGTTTTATTCTATATCAGGTATACCTACTACAGTTAAATCCCTCCCGAGTACCGCTACTAATCCCTGTAATTATCGCTACCAGTACTGATTACTGCTCAGATCAACGGTCTACTGACTATCTCCCGAAACGCATTACTTGTATCGATGAGGATCGCTTTATAGACTGTGTTGTAGCTTGGGGAAATGTAGCATGGTATGTGTATTCCCTATAGTATATACATGTAGCTCCCACAGAGGACTGTAGCATATTTGTATCCCATTTAGTAAATACATTGGAGCTACAACAGGGGACTGAAGCATGATATTTGTATCCCCCTAAAGTACATAACTACCACAGGACAATAGCATGATATTTGTATCCCCCTATAGTACATAGCTACCACAGAGGACAATAGCTACCACAGAGGACTATAGCTACCACAGAGGAAAGTAGCACGGTATTTGTATCACCATAGTATATAGCTACCACAGAGGAATATAGCTACCACAGAGGACTGTAGCATGATATTTGTATCCTCTATAGTATATAGCTACCACAGAGGACAATAGCTACCACAGAGGACTATAGCTACCACAGAGGAAAGTAGCACGGTATTTGTATCACCATAGTATATAGCTACCACAGAGGAATATAGCTACCACAGAGGACTGTAGCATGATATTTGTATCCTCTATAGTATATAGCTACCACAGAGGACAATAGCTACCACAGAGGACTATAGCTACCACAGAGGAAAGTAGCACGGTATTTGTATCACCATAGTATATAGCTACCACAGAGGAATATAGCTACCACAGAGGACTGTAGCATGATATTTGTATCCTCTATAGTATATAGCTACCACAGAGGACTATAGCTACCACAGAGGACAATAGCTACCACAGAAGACTATAGCTACCACAGAGGACAATAGCTACCACAGAGGAAAGTAGCACGATATTTGTATCCTTTTAGTATATAGCTACCACAGAGGACAATAGCTACCACAGAGGACTATAGCTACCACAGAGGACTGTAGCATGATATTTATATCCCCTATTGTATATAGCTCCCACAGAGGACTGTAGCATGATATTGGTATCCCCTATAGTACATAGCTACCACAGAGGACTATAGCTACCACAGAGGACAATAGCTACCACAGAAGACTTAGCTACCACAGAGGACAAAAGCTACCACAGAGGAAAGTAGCACGATATTTGTATCCCCTATAGTATATAGCTACCACAGAGGACTATAGCTACCACAGAGGACAATAGCTACCACAGAGGACTAAAGCTACCACAGAGGAAAGAAGCACGATATTTGTATCCCCATAGTATATAGCTACCATAGAGGAATATAGCTGCCACAAAGGACTGTAGTATGATATTTGTATCCCCTATAGTATATAGCTACCACAGGGGACTGTAGCATGATATTTGTATCCCCTATAGTATATAGCTACCACGGAGGACTGTTGCTACCACAGGGGACTGTAGAATGATATTTGTATCCCCTATAGTATATAGCTACCACAGGGGACTGTAGCATGATATTTGTATCCCCTATAGTATATAGCTACCACGGAGGACTATAGCTACCACAGGGGACTGTAGCACGATCTAGTTTGTAACCACCACAGGGACTGTAGAACGATCTAATGTGTAACTACCACATGGGACTGTAGCACGATCTAGTATGTAACTACAACATGGGACTGCAGTTCGATATAGTATGTAACTACCACAGGGACTGTAGTACGATATAGTATGTAACTACCCCATGGGACTGTAGTACGATCTAGTATGTAACTACCACAGGGGACCGTAGTACGATCTAGTATGTAACTACCACAGGGGACCGTGGTACGATCAAGTATGTAACTACCACAGGGGACTGTAGTACGATCTAGTATGTAACTACTACAGGGACTGTAGTACGATATAGTATGTAACTACCACGAGACCGTAGTACGATCTAGTATGTAACTACCACAGGGGACTGTAGTACGATCTAGTATGTAACTACCACAGGGGACTGTAGTACGANGAGGACAATAGCTACCACAGAGGACTATAGCTACCACAAAGGACTGTAGCATGATATTTGTATCCCCTATAGTATATAGCTACCACAGAGGACAATAGCTACCACAGAGGACAATAGCTACCACAGAGGACTATAGCTACCACAAAGGAGTGTAGCATTATATTTGTATCCCCTATAGTATATAGCTACCACGGAGGACAATAGCTACCACAGAGGACTATAGCTACCACAAAGGACTGTAGCATGATATTTGTATCCCCATAGTATATAGCTACCACGGAGGACAATAGCTACCACAGAGGACTATAGCTACCACAAAGGACTGTAGCATGATATTTGTATCGCTATAGTACAGAGCTACCACAGAGGACAATAGCGACCACAGAGGACTATAGCTACCACAGAGGACTGTAGCATGATATTTGTATCCCTATAGTACAGAGCTCCCACAGAGGACAATAGCTACCCCAGAGGACTATAGCTACCACAAAGGACTGTAGCATGATATTTGTATCCCTATAGTACAGAGCTACCACAGAGGACAATAGCTACCACAGAGGACTATAGCTACCACAGAGGAAAGTAGCACGGTTTTTGTATCACCATAGTATATAGCTACCACAGAGGAATATAGCTCCCACAGAGGACAATAGCAACCACAGAGGAAGGAAGCACGATATTTGTATCCCCTATAGTATATAGCTACCATAGAGGATTGTAGCATGATATTTGTATCCCCTATTATTATTTCTTTATTTCCTCCAAATTGAAGAGTTACAAAAATATACAGTGTAGTCAAAATACAAATCAAATATTATTAATTGATTCTTACATGCACATAAATACATCAGTTAACTACAGAGATGAAGAGAGAAGTTAATGAAACTTGAATTAGTTTAGTAAATACAGAAAGAACAGCAAATCATACAAAATAATTAGAATGCCTGGGAATCCTGAGGTTTCCAAGGGTTGGGGAAAGCCCTACCAACAAGGTCTTCTCAGGCTTACCCACACATAAACACACACAAAATAAGAGA